AATTGCACTTCAAAAGTCTTCATACGAAATACAAACGATTTCATATGATAGATTCTTTCCCGGACATTCATTTCCGGTCAAATACATACGAATGGTTTCTACTGGTGCTTTTACTACATAAACTGTTATTCGCTATATTAAGTGCATACTCATGTAAATAAATGTACGGACGGTTGTGTGAACGCAACTTTTAAATGCCTCAGAAATTAATCATAGTTAGTTGATAAAATTTGAAACTTTTCATTCAGGCATACAAGTACTACAACATATTAAAAATTCAAAAAAATTGACCAAAAACGTTTCTTTTTATAAAAATTGTAAATTTATAATATTAAAGTTTATTCCAAGAATAATTAAATTTTCAATAGGATGATAAAAATATATACATCTATTTATTGAGATAAAATGTTTTCTTATATAATTTAGATTTTTTTATGTTCATTACTTATTTCTTCTTAATTATGTTATAGTTTATACGTCAAAAGATAATTTTCATTAAATTTTAGTTAAATTTAATTTAATTAAGCTTGCTGAATCTTTTTATCATATAGTAATGTTGAAATGCATTTGTGTGTGTGCTAATCAATATAATACATATTTGTATGTGCAACAAAAAATACCTTCTTTCACCACACGTAATACAAAATATATTTAACATGAGAGAACATACAATCTATCATCTATCACACAAAACATGGCAATTATTCGCATATTATTGTTTTAACATAAAACATTTTTATATGATTTGATAGATCATAAAATACACTTTTATGTTATATTACTTAATATATAATCCTATTGCTATCAATTATTGTCAGAGTTCCTTATACTTTCTATTAAATTTTTAGTATATAATATAAATAACTGCTATATTGTTTTTATTTAGAAATAACTGATTAACTAGTTCTCTATCTAGAAACCGTGATTTATAAATAAATATTATATTGCAATTCTGACTAATGTTTGTCCTCAATTCATGCTTATTACTTTTTGATATTTTACTAACAATTTTAACCATGCATTACGACTTTATATTATATAATCAGATATTAATGTTTTCAATAATCGATCAAATTATATAAAAAAAATTTCATTTTAAGACAATAATATGCAAGTAAATCAACCATATAATATATATATTTTTTGTATATACACGTTTTTATATTGTGACAGATTGTATATTATAAATAAATGAGTTCATACTCTTATGTAAATTTAATTTCTTAAAATATAATTTAATTTAAAAAAGAATTAAAAGATAATATATTTCTTTTCAAAATGGAAAAAATATTTATATCATGAAATATTGATAGTAAAATTTTTATGTATAATTGTTTTTTATTTTTGTTAAATAAACACTCACTTGTAACAATGCTGGACCCATAACAGGAATCAGAAAACCCTGATATAAAAATTCAAGTAACTGTTTCTCTATCATTGGATGTGCTACTTGCGCAACTGCGTTGCAGAATTCCAGAGAATTCATGAGTTGTGTAAGTGCAGGTAAGTCATTCACGTCGTCCGGTGTCAATTGATGCCAATCGTCTGTTTCAATGTCGAGTTTCCTTGGGAGTAAAGAATAAAGGCCACTCAATCCTGTAGCTAGTACCTAAATAAATACAAACAATGCTGTTTGTACTACTTTTTTACGTACATTTTTGCAAGAATATCTCATTCCAAAGCACAATAATTGCATTATTTACAGGACATATGTTGGAATGGTCAGCGATGTATAATCCAACTTTGTCATTTTTTTTTGAAAGTGACATACATAATAACATAGCGTCACGTGCTTGCTGACCAATACCACCTTCTCGATGAACGTGAGGAATTAGTAGATTAAATATAATAAATCTGAAATTGTTAATTATTTTCATAAGGATTATACATTCTTATACAGCGCTATTTGTCATAATAAACACAAATTATTACTTATTCTTCGCAGTTGCAGTTGGATGAAAGAACAAGTCAAGTAATGCCATATTTTGCATTAAGGCAACACATAGCTGATTCAACAATACTACTAATTTCTTTTCCACTTCTAATGGCATAACATCATTTGCACATTCTTCTAACAATCGCAGAAGCGGCCTCGTAACTGGTTCATGTGCAAGAAGAGTACCACTATGTGAAACTAATAACTCGTAAAGTTTTATTTGTTCCAATCGTACAGCATTATTGAATCTGTAAGAAAATTTCTTATATATAATATATGCAGTAATTTATATATATAATACACATATTTCAAAATATATACATATGGATATATAGAATTGTTCTTTCATGTCTAATATGTCATAAATATATCCAAGCATTTAAAAAAAAAATGAAATATTTGGTAAATATTAAATTAAATAAGAATATAATAAATAGGTGTAATTTTCAAAGAAATTACTTAAATTTTAACTAAAAAATATTATAACAAATACTATTATTATAAAATATAAAAAGTTATTTGCATAAGATCAGAAAGTTTTTGACTAACATAAGCTTTTGATATGATGCACAGTGTTATCTTTGAGTAGTGATTACTCAAATTCTGATGATATAAAATTCTGATATATACCTATATATAAAATCAATTAACACTGTAAAAATTAGTTAAAAGCTTACAATTCATATGAGTTCCAAAACAATTGATTTTATTGTTTTTGACCAGCGCGATATTGTAACGATTTTGTATAGTTTTTCTATTGTTAAATGTATTATTTTCTCTTTTGTTTAGTTTTGCGTTTGTCTTGACGTTGTCAGGACACTACGTCAACGATGCAATTAAGTTTGTTATGCGGATCGGTGTAACTTGAATTAAAGCACTTGATAAGGACCGGGATTCGGTCAAAACGTCGTGCAATCTTGTTTCAATTGGCCAGTTGGGTAAAAAATAAAACGACTTATTTTGAATTATTTGCTGGCGACGGAAATTGTTTTGTTTATTTTTCTACATTAAATCCTTTTATTATTTTAGAAAATTAATTATATTATCAATGGCTACGTTTACACCCAACGACCTGATCGCGGTCTGACCTATATTATGACTCGAAGTAGATCTAGTCATCATTCGTATACACCGAAAGAGACCTAAAAATTGACGGGATCGTATTTGGGATCGCCCTAAATTGCAGCAAATCCGAACAAGCAAATAAAGCTTTTAGAACGCGTCGCGTGTGATCGCGCGTTTACATTGCAAATGATAACGGCCTATTTCAGGGAGTCGATTGTGTATCTTGAAACGAGGTGAAAATTACAAAAGTGAACAGATTTTACTAGATTTCGACAAATGAAATCGTAGATACGCTAGTGAATTTCCTCACTTTCGTAATTTTCATTTTATTTCAAGATACACAATCGACCCCCAGGTCGGGTCATTGGCTACGTTTACACCCAGCGACCTGATCGCGGCCTGACCTATATTGTGACCCGAAGTAGGTCTAGTCATCATTCGTTTACACCGAAAGAGACCTAAAAATTGACGGGATCGTATTTGGGATTGCCTGAAGTGTAGCAAATCCGAACAAGCAAATAAAGCTTTAAGGACGCGTCGCGTGTGATCGTGCGTTTACATCGCAAATGATAACGGCCTATTTCAGGTCGGGTCACTAAAATACGCGGCCTGACCTGAAGCCAGGTCTGGTCGCCTATTAAGTGTTTACAGCAGGCGGCTTAAATAATTTAGGTCGAATTTGAGGTATAGGCCGCGGCCTAAATTCATCAGGGTGTAAACGTAACCATTAAGTCTACGTTTCCCGCAGAAAGTTTTCGTGCATCGCATTTATCAGATTTCATATAGTTTATGCTACAGATGATTGTTTTAATGAATTTTGTATGTACAGTTAGCTACTAAAAAAAT